CGGGTCATGGCGGCGTCGTTGTTCTACCAAGCTTCCAAGACAGCACCCCAGCCGAACTGGGACCATAAAAATGATGGAGAGTACTGTAATAGGTTACAAGGCATCGACCACGGCTTATCAGCTCTGGCAGATATGCTCCCTGCCAACCTCCAGCTACCACAGAACTCATCATGCCAACACGCCGTCTTTGTCAACATCCTAATCCATACCGCCACCATGTGCCTCCACAAGACAGCAGCTCAAAAGGCAAAATGTCTCCAAGGACCTGAAGCAGAGATCCTAGCACGCGAGAGCCACAGCAGGATGTTTGCAGCTGCAGTCAAAGTCCTCGACGTGTTCCAGCACACACGGGATCTCGTCATGGCGCTCCAGAACCCGATCCAAGACTACACGGTGTACATCGCTGCTCTGGTTTTCCTGCAAGACTTTAGTGTTGGGAGGAGTGAGCAGAGTAAATGTGATGCCCTGTTCTTGTTTGGAATTTTGCAAACTGCTGGCGAAATCCATGCCGTTGCTCGCATGCTGTCGGTTCAGCTGAGACCGCAATTGGAGGATTGTGGTATTGATATACCCCATGATGATGAAATAAATCTTGACAGTCTCGAAACTTATAGAACAAGAAGAAATCGAGGCTAGATCGTGGAAGCTAGGGAGAGGTATTTGAGAACTACCAGCTTCCCGCTGTATATATGCTGGAGTACTGAGCTCCGTGTGCTCAGGGGCTAGTCTGACACCTAGGCTGGCAGAACACCGAGTACCATTCAACACCATAACGTATCCTGGCACGGAAATTGTTCATATGCGACAAGGCAAAAGGATCGATCCTAATACAATCAACACTTTTCTCTTTGTCTCTTCTCAGTCCCACAACTGATATGTTTGTCAATATAGGTACTTAGAGTAGCGTCTTTCGCCACCACTTCTCTTCCTCTTCCAACCACATCTTCACGTTCGCAGGCTGATAGAAACCATGTCCTTCATCCGGAGCAACAATCAACTTGACATCCCCTCCTACCTCCTTGATTGCATCAGCCATTTGTTCTGCCTGATCCAGAGGACAAACCATGTCCTTCTTCCCGTGTAACAGAAGGAGTGGTGCCTTGGTTTTGTGGGCGTCAAACAATGGGCTTCGCTCATGACAGATCCGATCCATTTCACCCTTGTCTACTCCTGGTCCCAGAACCAGATGTTCCACGTAGTCCGACTCTAGCTTGTGAGTAGATTCATCGAGACGTTTGACGTCGCTGATACCAGAGAGACAGACACCACCGGCAAAGGCCAAGGGGTGGCGAGTCAAGGTTCGAAGGGTGTTGTATCCTCCTGCACTGACACCAGTGATGCCTGCTGCCCCAATCCTCGTCTTCCCCGTCTCGGCGAGGTAGATGGCAAACTCTGCGGCATCATCTGAGTCCACCAAGCCAAAGTTGCCAAAGAGAGCTTCTCGATACGCGCGGCCATGGGCACTAGATCCATTGTAGTTCAGGGCAAGATATGCGTACCCCCTCGATGTGAAGTATTGGATCCTGAGTTTGAGACCTAGTCCTGTGAACGAGGTGGGACCTCCATGGCTCATCACGATGAGGGGCGGCAGATCCCCTTCTGGTGCCGCGAAGTCGGGATTATGTGGCATCCAGAGGAATCCATGAATTTTGCGATGCGGCTGTCCTTTGGAGGAGATGGCGAGTGACTCCGGCCGAGAGTATATAGAGTCCGGGAAAGCCTCCTCTGTCGAGTTACGCAACTTTGTAACCTGAACAGAGTCAGCAATGTTAACTCGATAAAGCGCTAAGGCAGATGTCGTTCCAGCTCCTGTGATGAGGAATGAAGTATCATCTAGACGAGCCACTGAGTCCAGAATGACCTCGGATAAAATCGATGGATCTCCAATTTCTTTCCATGAACCCGCATCCAGATCAACAACAATCACCTTTGAGACTCCAAGGGTAACGGGAGCAGCAATCAAGAAGCGAGACGACAATGGCGCGTATGTATGGCTGACGAGCTTTAGCAAGATACCAACATTCAACGAATGTGACCTATATCTCACCTTCCTTGAAACCAACGCAGATCTCCGAATTCAGAGTCGTCAAGGCCATCCAGCTTGATCTCAACTGGGACATCTGCACCAGGGGGGACTCGGAATAGCTTTCGGAATGCGCCTTCTTCCTTCCCAAAGAAAAGACTGCCATCAGGGCCCCATCGAGGCTCAGCAACGCCTTCACGGTTATCTCCAGCGATAATGCGAACGTCTGAAACTGAACCGTCCGGGTTCCAAGTCGCCGAGTACAACTTCGCCGCGTCAAAAGGGAGATCTGGGTGGTTCCACTCCAGCCAGGCGACCTTTGTCCCGTCAAAGCTAAAGTGTGGTGTGTAGTAGAAATCGGCATTGTCCCGGATTCGCTTGACTTCAGCTGTCTCTGTGTTGATCGCCACGATATAGTTGCGGATTTGGTCTGGTGTGTCATGCTCGTGGTCTTCCTGGTTAGCCAGCACCCAAGGAGAAGTTGGATTGGCATCAAAGTTTGAGTATCTCAAGTTGGGTGACGAAGTCAGATGAGTGACTTCCTTGGTGTCTGGGTTGAGGATATGAACCGTGTTGCCCTTGTTGGAGAATATGATGCGGTCATCAGACAGAATGGCGTAGGGTGAGCCTCCATATTCGTAGACTGTGTTTTTGGCGCTGTACTCGGCTGGAAGGACCTCATTCAGTCCATCCTTTGTGATCTCGACAATGGCTGTACTTCCATCTTCCCTACCCTCGGTGTAAAAGGCCCTGCCTGATTTGGGCTATCGCCAACCCGATGTTAGCGGTCGTTCAGTTCACACATAAGAAAACCCACACTAGCTCTGGGGGTTGAAAGGCTTCGGGTCTTTGAAGTAATAGATTCAACCGATATGGGCGATTTCCAATCCCCGTAGGGAGCCGTGGTCTTTGACGCCATTGCAGCGGATGTTGGTGTTGAGGTCAAGTTTGGTCATCAAGTGCGGGGCGCATCTTCCTGAAGGAACACAATCAGTTAAGCTGCAGGAACTGAGCATGGTATTCCTTAGGCAGCATTGCAGTAAAAGAAAAACCCAAGTTGCTTGTCATTTTTTACACCTACGCAATCTACTCCTCACAGATACATTCATACATGCAGCCAGCGTTGCTCTGTGGGTTGCATTGGTATATCTTTCCGCCACATCGTGGTGAGTAGATTTGTGCGTACATGCCTTGGGGTTTTCACAGTTTCTAAAACCAAGCAATTAAGGTCTCTAATAAGATACAATTCACGGTATCGACTATTATGCTTAGCTAGAATCCCGTGTGTGAACATGATTGTTCTTTTCTCTTCCCTTTCCCATGGACCCCCACTTGCTTCCCTACTATCACTCATCAAGGTAGCCAGGGTTCTCTGAGCGCCTCGAGTAAGAGGCTCACCCTGCCGGGTCTTGGCCACACCGTACTTCCCAGTCGGATGGCCTGGATGGAAATGAAGCCGGAGGTATCCTCGGGGCTGAAAACCTCAAGGTTGTCCATGTTAGCCTGCTCCTCACTGTACAGGTTGAGCCATGCCGCACACAGCAGATTTCAGGCCTGGGGACCTCCACTGCTATCGTGAGTCTTGAAGACAGCCCAATAAAGCTTGTATTCCATTACATACGATTAAAAATTACAGAATGATCGCCTACATGGAAGCTACTAACCGAACGTTTTTTAAAATAAAATGTCATAAGGCATGGTTCACAATAAGATTCCTTACACCACACCAGTAGCAACCCAACTCAACGACACAACCAAGCTGGAACAAACACTTCCAACACAGAGGGACCGTTCATCCCAGGCTCATTCATTTCAAAGCCACTCGTCCCAAAAGCGACCTCTGGCCCAGGGACTGTAATAGTTGGGGTAATTCCAGCTGTCTTGATCTCTTCCTTCACCCCCGCAATCACAGGATTCTTGATTCCGCGGTTGCTAAACCAAGGCGCGTACAGGTGGTTTATGCACTTTCTCATGCATGCATCCCACCACTCAGAGATACTTCTTGTAAACTCATAACCGCAGCTCCCTAGTCCTGTGAAATACTCGTTATACCGTGGTAGGTTGCCGGGATCAATAGATGTTGAACAGCTCACCAGCTTCAGCCACTTTGGGAGGGTTGAGTACTCTCACCTCGGGGGCCACAGTGATGACCTCAAGACTGTAGCGGTAGAGGAGCCAAGACTTGCACAAGACACCCATCACGAAATCGTTCACAAGCCGAATGGCAGAGAGGCAAATGCTTGGCTTTCTCACACATAACCTTGGCTCTCAACAACATGAATACAAGAGTGACATACGAAAAGTTTAGAGAAAAACTCGCCTGGCCAAGGAGACGTCTGCTAGTTGACCCCGAGTGCTGAAAGGCATCCTTGTGCGAAACGTAAGAAGTTCTAACCCTCATTAAACATACATATCCTCTCACTTATTCATATTATCTTTATCATGATACACAAAGATCTGCGTGTCGTTGCAGCATACTTTGACCGTGGCTTGTTGACAGCCGCCAACACCAGGAACACCATGCAAGGTACGCTCCAGGAAATGTCATCGCCGATGAACAATCAGCAAGAATTCGATTCAAAAGCAACATAATCGACGTCATTATCCACGTGGTGCTCATCTTGAAGAGGGCACCCTGTTCTTCGCAAGCAAAAGATGTGGCCTCGTGATGCCCAGCTGTCGCATGTCAACACCACAACCAGGTGACCCACGTGTCGTGATGCATCCCACCCAGGAACAAAGGTCACGTCAAAAACTACAGGTACATCAGGCGAGAGTTAGTACTCACTCTTCGTTCTAAAAGCAGGGCACTTTCGCTTGATCTGACCACAGGAGCCGCATTATCAAGGCTGAGTGGAAGAGAGTGACCTTGTCGCGATCAGCAGTAGAGGTGTTTAAGAAAGAGATTAAAAGTCATCAGGTACGGGTATTTACAGCTTGCGTCAGATATATACATGGCACCCTGCCTCCCCAAGGGCTAGTCCAGCCTTCTTCTACCCATAGGCCGTCTCTTTACGGGATCTAGCATGGGTTTCTGAATCTTGCTCAGCGATTCCTCAGGACTCCGGCGGATGTCCTTCAGTGCAGAGCCTTCTCGGCGGTAGGGTGAGTACTTCGGTGAGGGTGAAGGTGAGCGGCGGTGAGAGGGAATCCTCCACGACGCAGCGGACTTGTACTCAATGTAGCAGGACGCGATGGTCTCCTGTCGGGGGGTAGGAGTGTTGTCAGAATCTGGGGTATCGTTACAGAAATCGAAAGCGTCGCTGGCATCTTCAGGAAATTGAGCGGTAGGAAATTCGTCCTCCTCCAGGTCCTCCTCATCAAGAGTATCGTGAGATTGCTCTCCATCGTCCAGCATGTCCATCGGCGGCGGGCTCTCTGCGCAATCCGAGTCTGAGGTGACAGCTGTGTCACCATCGTCAGATTGCGAGGTCTCATCGTCGTCGTGAACGTGTGCCAGGGTCAGTCCAGGGCCAAATAGCCCCGACTCTAACCCAGAAAACGACATGGAGCGTGAGGGAGGGTTGGAGGAGTATTCGTGAGACTCCGAGCAGCAAGCTGGTGACGACTCGGAGTGCTCTGCCTCGGAATGAGGAGGCGAGAGGGGGCCCTCAACAGTCATGGGCCGAATATTGGTATGAATAGATAGAGGTTCTTTGGTCATGATGGGCTCGCCATCAAAGAAACTAGGGAGAGCATCATCGACACTGCTGGCCGTGGTGCCCTCGGTTTTGATACTGTTGGTTTCGGAGAAAGAGGATGAGGATGCGATAGAAATAGTGTCATGATCTTGATGATCGTGACGGTCGATGTAGTTGTCGGGGAGGTAACTTGCAAAGTAGCGGACGATGGAGTCAAACGACTTGGTCCGGAAGAGCTGGAGTGCGTACTGCCAGTGCTCAGAGTCCATCAGCTTGGGGTTGGCGATGATCTCGACAGCAAGGGACTCGAGAGATTCATGTAGCTCACAAATCCGCTGGCGCTGCCGGTCGGCCATCAAGCGATGGAACTCGTCGGTGGTATCAGCATCGCGGGAGATTTCGTAGACGTCGTGGTGAAAAGCTTCGGGGTCTTGTAGGTTGAAGGTAAAGGTGTTGTACTGATCGTGGAGTTTGGTAAAGAGGTCATCCCTCTTCATGCCGAATTTCCAGGCCGGCCATGACCAACCTGGATCGTCCATGTCGAGGTCACAGTCGATGGGGTTTGGTAGAATATCGGGTGGAGGATGGGGGGGTTGAGAAGAGTGTCCAGAGTGAGGGCCCAGGAGGGTATCGCGTCAAAGCTCGTGTGAGCTATTAGATCTTTATCATATCCATAGCGAGAATCGTTCAGGGAGTGTCCAGCAGTCACAGAGGGTGCTGAAGCGAGCAGAGAGTGTTCGTTCGTGGGCTTTTGGGCGGAGTCTGGGAGTCGTGGGCGGTTGGATCTTGGGAATATGGAGGCGGGCGTGGTGACGAAAACAGGATGCACCAGGCTTGGGGGTGCCGTCGATAGCAACATTTCTCCCCTTTGTGCGTGGCCCCCAACCATGCAAGCATGAATGCCTGAGGCCAGAAACGTGGCTGCCAAATCTGTCTCTGATTGGATGCACGGGCCCATCATCGGGCACGCGAGCCTGCGCCTGCATAACTCCGCCACTCCGTGAGCCAATCATGGCCGAGACGAAAAATAAGCTATCCAATCAGCCCTGATCGTAAGACCCGTATCAAAATGTGCAACCAATTGGAAACATGGTGGCGTACAATTTCGGGATCAGGGAAGCCGCGTGCTGACCTCCAGACCGTGCAGCCTACAGTGCCTAAAGACGATCGGGACCCAACACGACTCCGTTGTCGGTGAGCTGTTCTCTCTGCCGACCCAAAGTCACGAGGCAAATTCCATTGCTTTCTGGAAGAGAATCTCACGGTAAGACCACGGCTGACCAAAATGGGCAGTGTCTTTGTGTATGGAGGTCGTGACAGCCTCACGTTCACTGCTTTATTCCACACAATTCGCCGCTCTTTATCCTCCTTTGACTATCTGGTCATGCTGAGATGGAGGCCCTCACCAGCAGCGTCAATTTCGTCATGGCCGAACCCGCCTGAGCACCGGTAAGCGGGACGTTGTCAGGTCGCCCACTATCTGTGTGCGGATGCCAGATCATTCCCGCCTTTCTCTTGACATGACGCAGTGGAAGGGCTCATCAGCCCCATTAGCATCTTATCGCCTGTGGCGCAGATATCCATGAGATTCTTCAAGCTCCAAACCACCAAGTACATGGACCGCAGATTCAGACAGCCAGGATACCTCTCGCCAAACAACACAGCCACGAGACTGAGGCAGGGCCTTGCGATCAGCCCTACCAGCAGAGCTGACCAATACCAGCCCCTCAATCTCCATCCAGAACCCCAACTCGGACCGCTCCCAGGCACCCACTGGCCTCGCTTCGCGCCGTTCTCCCGCTGCCGTTTCGTCAACGCTGTCTTTGTCTTCGCTTCCTGTTCTTCTTTGCACCCGCACTCGCATCTTATTATTAGACCCGATCCAACTCGGCTCGACAACCCCATGCGACAGGTGTCCCGATCTGTTGATGACTCTTTTGCTGGTCACTTTTCGTCTTCCCCTCGTGAAGACTGAGACGAGACCAGTCGCCATCAGCAGGCCTGTCCTAAAGTCGTCCTTTCAACCCCCCCAAGAGGAGACCCCAGCGTGTCCTGTCCTTCTGATGTGCCCTGTTGGTTCCCCATAACTCGCCCCGTAAAAGTCGAAGCCGTCCATCTCTTCCCAGGTGTTTTGGTTCCTGCATTTAATCACCTTTTTCCTTTCCTTTGATGGGCTGCCGCATCGAGCCTTTGACGCTTCGCCCCGTTTCCCTTTCAGCTCCTGTCTATTAAACCCCTTCATCTCCCCTCCAGCTACTTGGCTGGCCCACTGCCTCACCTCCCCTGAGCCTAGCCGTGCTACCTTCTGCTCCGCCTCGTGTGCCTTGCTAGCATCGCCTCGCTGAGGGACAACTTCGTATCGAATCCCCCATCTCAGCCCTTCTTACTCATCCCCAACTCACCACCATTACCAACGACACTTTTCAGCCTGGATCACCAACGCATCAAATTACGCAGCGCCGCGCAGCTAAACCGCTCGCTCACAGCAAGACATTCACATTCACACTCAATCGTAAACTCTCTTTTGGATCATTCTAGTTTGGTTGGCTGGTACCAAAGGTACTCACTCACTTTTCTCTCGTCCTGGGCGTCTCCCGTCGCCTCTCGTCATCCCACCGCCCTGCTTGCTTACCACCACCGCCGCATGGCGAACAGGCACCACCAACCTTATGGCCGAACCCAGGTTCGGGCTCTCTGAGGCCATCTCAGAGGAACGCACCGAGCCATTTTCACAGTCCGAGATTGACGCCCGGTTCAGGGGCATTCGCGTCGAGGAGCCGGTCCCCGCGACCGACGCTGTGGCCGTCCCGCTGGACGATCTCCAGGTTGAGGACCACCACCACAAGCAGGGCATCCGCATCCTCTTCCGCCCTCTGGCCAAGTTCCCCAACACGCGGTCTGTGAGCCCTGGTAGTGACAGTTGCCAGTGGCTCGCTCTCCGCGCTGAGGTTGCCTCCTCGGAGCAGCCAGAGCATAAAGTCCTGGCAGTGACTCAGACATCCAAGGATATCAAATTCTCCGTCCGTATCCCCGGAGAGACACAGGATGACTCTCCAAGACCCCCTCTATGGTGCGAGTTGTATTACGATCCCGCCAGTGACAAGGTCATCTTCCTGAACAAGTCGGACGTGCCAATTTCTCTCTCCAGCGTGTCTCCGACGCCACTTTCGAGTCCTCCCCTCAGTGCCGCTCACATCATCAATCCGGGGTTGGCCAAGGCTCTGAAGCCTGGAACCTGGCGCATCACTGTCCGAGACATTGACGTTCTCGACTTTCGAGTGCTGGAGAAGCGCCCAGTGACGCTCTACCAATCACAGCCGCCAAAGGCCCCCGAGGACGTGTCGTCGACGACGAGCTCTGCTCATATCAACTCGAGCGGCAAGCGAGCCTTGACTCCCGAGTATGACGAGAAGAGGGTGAAACGCCGCGTCTCTGATCCGGAAACACCCGGTGACGACGGCGTCATCATGTTCCTCAGACCTGCCGGGGATCATCTCGTCTTTCCCCTTCCCAAAGGCCGTGAGAGCAAGGAGCTCTCGACTGTGAATAGCCACGCTTTGCTAGATGCCGAAAAGGGCGACACGATTGCAGTCCCAGGTGTTTGCGAACTGGACGAGTACCAGCTCACCAAGCGGGAGCCCATCGCATCGACGTCTCTGTCGGCTGTCTACACCGCGACTCACTCCCACGTGCCCGATAACATTGTCACAGTCAAGGTGCTCAAGACGCGTGTCGCAAACCCCAACGAGAAGCCATTAGTTCACGAGCGGAACGTCATCCGCCAGGCCGACATGTGGCTCCGTGAGTGCAAGAGTCAGGAGGACTTGCAGCACGAGTCCATTGTACGTTACTACGGCGGAGATGCGCGTTTCTTGTCCCTCTACATGGAGCATGTGGACGCCAAGGATCTCACGGCGGCACCACGGTGGAGGAACAAAGCCAACGACGAGTTCTTGGGTGACAGGAATGACGCCGTCAGGATCCTAGGGGATATCGCCAGCGCCCTCAGCTACATCCACGGTCGCAAGCTGGTGCACAACGACATCAAGCCTGCCAACATCCTCTACTCGCCAGAGCGAGGCGCTGTCCTCTGCGACTTTGGCCTGTCGACCCTGGCCGTTAATTCACCGACGACGGGCGGAACACCGTACTACGTCCCTCCAGAGTTCATCGGGCGCAAGCAACGCGGAACGGCCTCTGATGTCTGGGCCCTGGGTGTCACCATGCTCTACGTGATGCGCAAGATCGCATTCCCCGACTCTCGCGCTCGTCGACAGCACCCGCGACCTCTGTACTGGCAGATCGCCGGCGTCAACAACCCTGCCGTGCCGCACAAGAACTACGGCAATGGTCAGCCCGCCATCTCCCAGATGCGGGACTGGCTGACCGAGATTTTCGAGGCCAGGGAGAACCTTAACTCCAAGGATCGCCTTGAGCGTCTAGTCATGGAGATGCTCTATCCAAACCCCAACCAGCGTATCACCATGGCAAAGGTGTTGCAAGAGCTGGCAACTGAACAGGTTGTCGGCCCAGTCAAGTGAAGTGAGGGATGAGTCGGATAATTGTTTGAACGATGAATTGTATGCACTTTACGTGTTTTGGATGACCGCTTTTTTTCTTGTTATTAAAGTTGAAGTACATTACTTTTCTCATGGGCCGGCCAGTGTGGTGGGCGGAATTAACGAGGTCGGAAGGGTAAGTCGTCGTCCTCGCCATGATAGGGGACAACTGCTAATGAAAGACAGACGGAAGATACCCAGTCAATGATTACAGGAACTGCACATATAGGCAGTTTGTCATATACGCATAGCGGAGCACTTGTTGAGCATGTATTATATAGAACCATAGAAGGTTTCTTTTCAACGCATGATGGTTTATTATGCCTTCATTATATCATCACATCTTTTGCACTCTCAGTCTCAATTACAGGCCAATTCCCATCACAAAAGCAGCAGCGAGACCCGCAACAGAGGTCAAGGCCACCATGTTGGCGCCCAGGATACCGGCAGCGTTGTCGTTGCCGCTCTCCTTGGAATCAGTGTTGGAAGAGTTTCCCTGGCTGCTTTGCTCCTCCTCCTCGCCAGTCTGCTCCTTGACAGCAAAGTACTCGCTCTCAGAGGTGCAGTTGCTGGGACCCTTGGCATCCTTCTTGAAGCGAATGTCGGCACAGTTGTACAGGGCGCTGCCTGAGTCGCCGACGGTGACGACCTGGATGCTGGCAAAGTCGCCGTCAGAGACCTTGACGTCTGAGGGTAACTTAAGCTCTTCGATGCAGAGCTGTCCGGGGCTGGTGACGTTGAGGAATTGGGGAGTCAGGGAGACGTTGAAGTTGGTCGAGTTCTCGCCGAGGCCGAGGTTGACAAAGACATAGCTCCAGGGGTGGTGTAGCTCGAGCTTCAGAGCGCCGCCCTCGAGGGGCCAGTCGGTGACGTTCCTCTCATTGTAGTCAACGCCGGCGCCTTGGGCGTGTCAGTAGCGATCCTTATTGCTGGAGCAGGGCAGAGGCCAAGACTTACAAGGGTAGGTCCACTGGCTGTAGCGCTCCTCGTTCTCTTCGGAGAGAGTATCAGCTCGCCATTCGGGGAAGACGAGACCGAAGTGAGCAGAGACAGCCTGGACAGAAGCCAGGGCGAGGAGGGACTTGAAGGCCATCATCTTGAAGATGCTGATTCGCAATTGGTCTTGAACAAAGGTAAAGATGACAAAGTCGACCAGAGAAGCCCTGCAAGATGTGGAGAGAAGATGAGGATGCAGCAGCAGATCTTGTCCCAGAGCAGGTGCGTCAGTCGGCTTTATAGATGAGATAAACAGCCACCCATTGACCGTTGCAGAATGCAACCGAGGAGCTCTTGAGAGCTGAGCTCCTCCCTGGTCAATTGACTCGTCGGTAGCTTCTAAGAACCAGGCTGTTAACGAACTAGCGTGAGTTAATTTCACAAGGCCAAAGCAGCTCTGGCGTTGCTACTTTCTGCCGTGTCACTGCGGGCCAGATGGTAGAGGCGGTCCGGTGCCTGCTCCGGAGGTTCGGAGGCGGGTGTGAATTTGAGTCAACGGGTGGCCGGCCCAGCTCAAAGTACATATGCCGTAGCGGAGACAAGTTCAACTTTCTACAACTCAAAGCACGTCTGCACATACTCTAGAAGCCCTCTAATATTACTTCATGTAAATTTATCTATCTTTCTTCGTGCCTTTCCTCGGTATCGTTCTATTGTCCAACGTTTTTGAAGTTCTCACCCACTCTACCAAACATCACAGACGGGTGCCAATGCGGGGGTGGGTCCCAGCCCTGTACAAGCCCGAGCGAGTTTGAGATGATATAAACTTGCTCAAATGGCCGCACTGATCCCTGTTTGGAGACTTGACCGTTCCTTCTGGTATTCTGTGCCGAGATGGATCTTATCTATTTCTTGGCACTTGGCTTACTCGAGGTGAGAAGTGTGAATGGCGACAGAAGAGAACTTGGTTGCGAGTTTGGATGTTCCAGGGTAGATGGATGGCATGATGGCATCCCTTTCAACTCGTTCATCACCATCCAATACCTAATTTTTCAATTGAGATAGAATGATTAACTATTCTTATCTATAAGCTACGCTTACCATCTACTCATGATTTGGTTTAACTGGTTGCTTCGTGTCGAATGTTCGTGAGTAAATACCCCCGGATGTCAAACCTGAACATGGATCAAATATGGATATCGACCAAACCCTCAGTTCAAGGGTGTTTAAGATGAAAGAGCACATCTCTACTATTTGACAAACGTTGAGGAGGAAAATAGTTAAAAGGATACTATTATCCCTTGAGAGAAAGACATCCATGTTTAGAAAGAAATTCCCAACCATCTATTAAATTGGTGCTGCTTCTATGAGCCTCTTGATTGATAAGTAAACCTGCAGATCGCCTCTTACAACTTCCAAAAAAATGCATGTCCGGACTTATTGCTACATCTGGCCCAGCCTCGGTCTCTATCAAAACCCTTCTCATTCCTCATTTCCAGGGTCCTCGTGCTGCAACAAACTCAAGCGATGTCGCCCTTACTTAGCGCCGCCACCTCGGCACCCAGATACCTCGCTTCCATCTTCACCGAACTACTAGGTAGGCTTGGAAGAACGTCAGAAACACACTTATTTTCAAGCTTAACTGTAAGCTGACTAAGAAATCGACTGCCTGCTCAAGAAATGGCCCTTCAGGGCTGGAGTCAAGTGATGGGGGAGCTCCAGTACCACTAATGGGATACCAAACGTGATTAATTAAACAAATACTGGACTTTAGGTTGCATCAACATTTATTTCATTCCCCATGGATGGGATAAATCAAACCGCCATTCATGGACTTCCGACATAGGTCAGTCGGTAGAAGTGAATGCGTGGTCACGTGCGCCGCTCCGAGGTCGCGGTTGCCTGATAAGGATTTTCCTTCAACGCCCCACTGTTTTTTCACCGATAAGCTCCTTCCAGCATCCATCTTGATGCCTTCATGACCGCCTCTCCAACCTGACTTGTTTTTCTCATTACATCATTTCAAACATCAAGAACCATGGATCCGGGTCGCAGAGCAATGATCTCGGGACGAAAGTCCCCTACTCGACGAGATGTTACCTCGCCCAGACATGATCCAAGCAATCGCATCACCAAATCCACCAAGCCAGCCGTTTCCAAGATCAATCCCAGGTACTTGACCCAAGACGAGCAGTCACGACAGTTCGTGGCCGACGAGGACAAGTTTGTGTTGAAGCAGTCAAAGAAGAAGGCCGATATCCGAGTTCGAGAGGGCCGTGCAAAGCCCATTGATTACCTGGCGTTCAACCTGAGATACATCGATTCCGACCGCGACGTGTTCGATGACGACGATACCGATATCGATATTGACGTTCCTGCGCCTGCAGATGTCATCACATCACTTGATGCAGAGCAGATTGCCGAGCTGGACTCCGACATTGCATCTTATCACGTGCTCGAAACCAATGCAACGAACCGCGAATACTGGAAGTCGCTGCAGACGCTCTGCGCGGACCGCAAGGCCAAGCTCAACCCGCACGGCCATGACCAGAGAGTTGTCAGCAGTGTCTCGGACGACATTGACAAGATTCTCGCCCCGAAGACGCATGACCAGCTGGAGGCTCTCGAGAAGCAGATCAAGGCAAAGCTACAGTCTAATGAGGACATCGACACGGATTACTGGGAGCAGTTGTTGCGAAGCCTCCGAGTTTGGAAAGCCCGTGCCAAATTGGACCAGGTATACGAGACAATCAAGAAGAACCGCCATGACCAGTTGAAGGACCGCGATCCGGCCAAAGCGAATGTAGTTGGCCAGACGTCAGCCACCAATGTCTCGCAACGGCCTGCAGCCTCAATTTCCAAGGACGAGACGTCAAAGCCAACAGCTGTTTCATCCTCCAGCCACGCGGACAGATCCGTTCCGCCAGGCACCGAACGTTTCTCTCAGGCCGATAACGAGGACTTTTCTCAGGCTACCAAAGCTTTGTATGATCGCGAGGTTGCTCGAGGTGTGGATGAAAACGAGGAGATCTTTACCAGCGAGGAGGCTGTCACCACCACCAAGCCGCAGTGGGCGGACAAGTACAGGCCCCGAAAGCCTCGTTACTTCAACCGGGTGCAAATGGGATACGACTGGAACAAGTATAACCAAACACACTATGACCACGATAACCCACCACCCAAGGTGGTCCAGGGCTACAAGTTCAACATTTTTTACCCAGAGCTCATCGACAAGACAAAGGCACCGACCTTCAAGATTATTCGAGAACACGGCCGAAGACGAGGAGAGTCGTTTGCTGCTGCCGGGGAGGAGGACACGTGCCTCATCCGGTTCATTGCAGGCCCTCCATACGAAGACATCGCGTTTCGCATTGTCGACCGAGAGTGGGATTATAGCGCCAAAAGGGATCGAGGCTTCAAGAGCTCCTTTGACAAGGTATGTCCACTTGACTCCTGCACCACTCTTCACGTGGCAACTCAAAGCTTCTGCATCTCCGCACTTGGCTGTCTCCATACTGTGGCAGGGCCCATTGGATTGCTTTATGCAACCTTGATCCAGCCCGCCACGTTGATGGCAACGTTGAGACGCCTGCGTCTGAGCTCATCCCCATTACGTGCCAGGAACCCACAGTAGCTAATTTGTACATATCACAGGGTATCTTGCAGCTGCACTTCCAGTTCAAGAAGGTATGGTTCTGAAAACGCCGGCCTTGGCCAAACACATGGATGAAACTAACGTGTCATTTTTAGATCTACTACCGGAAGTAAACCTGTGGATCTGGTCTTCTGGGGCCTCTGCCGCCTGGCCACCAGCTCACCCGGCTTCTCGCTTAGCGGAAGTAACCTTGGATCATTGACGAGCGAAGGGTGGGGGATATTCGACCGTAACCATCCCATGAACTTGGGGCTCTTGCATTCCGGGAAAGACAGAAATAGTGATTTTTGAAACGGGAGGGCGATCCCATCGGCTCCGCCACGGCAACATTGTGGTTGTTCATAGCTCTCCCCATATGTTTCCTTTTCGGCTAATCATGTCCGTTGGTTCGCTCTTGTATCACCTTGCTGAGGCCCTCTACCTCAGTGGCATCAAAGCAGGTATGAAATCACACCTGCCGGTCCTGCATTATGATGGCATCGTCGCTCGCCGAGAAGGTCCAAGCACACATCGGGAGTGGATGGGGCTCTTCGCAAGCACCTTGGACTGGTCCAGGGGAGTCAAACTTGGGTGGCCAAGCGTCCTGCAGGTGAAAGCTTCTGGAAGGACCTCGTTCGTATGCGATGACGGGCCGGACATGGGACGGGCAGTGCAGAACCGCGCCCGTCTTTGCGTTTATTTGTTAAGGGGGAGGATCCTACGCGAGACATCAGCAATCAAAAAGAGGATTGGCGCATCAGCAGCAGCAGCAGCAACAACAACAGCAGCAGGCGCTCGAAGCAAGATACCTCAAGCCTCAGTTCTCAGTCGAGCACCTGATAGTGAAGTTTCGACAGATTGTTCCATGCCTAGGCCTTGAGCGTCGGGCCGCCATGCAGTGGTGATTTTATGCTTCAACAAGCTTCTGGCAAATGCTCCGGAGGTTCCATATTGACTCACAGCAGGAGAAGCAGAAGCAGCGGGAAGACGGGAGGTCAAACAGTACGGCGACCAGCTGATGAGTTGATTGGCGTGCAGATTGGTATCCTGATTGGTATCGTGGGGATGCAAGGTGCCGTTCGAGACGTCTGGGTCCCGCGATAGCCCCGTTGGCGAGAGCACAAACCGGCTGAGCTACCGTCAAGTGACTTGAGGCCGGTTTGACAACATGTACCATGGGCTGGTGTGATGCATCTCGGCCGCGATACCACACATCCATGCCAGATGAGCCCGAGACGCTCCGGCAGAGGGGAGAGGGAAGATTTGGCGACGGGTCAAGGGGGAATGCGACACAAGGCCTGACGGACCGGTCCAACCAGTGTCGGCACATTTCTTCTTGGAGTCTTCTGCTGCAAGGTTGTGCTTCCACCCGTGAGCAACGAACGGATGAGCGAACGAACATACGAACGAAAGAACGAACGGACCCAAGGTGCCTTGCTTGGGGAAGATGATCCTGAGGCGTAACCCCCATCAGTAGTAACCCTGGCCTTGTTACTCACAAGTACTGGAAGTATCTGGCGGCGGCAGTTTGAGACCGGGGTACGGGGGTGCCCGTACATCATGGCGTGCGAGGCCGGAGCAGTGCCTATCGAGCCCATCACGATGCTCTTGAAGCGCAGCGAAGCCACCAGAGATGTCTGAGAGTCCGTTTGCGCGCCCTGGGGGGCCATCAGACTTGTACCTGATGGCTGATGGCTGAAGGCCGCACCATAGCACACAAGCACAGGCACACACACACAAAGCATGCTTGCCGTTGTCGTTGGCACACGGAGGGGTGCCGGTTGAAGACGACCCTGGGCGTTTTCCCTGGATGCCACGGGCCATTGGCCTTAGCTTGATGGCTCCCTGGGGCTTGGCTTGGCCGTTTTCTTGACTTGGCTCACGCCCCCGGGGCGCTCCAGTTGGATCTTGGGGTCTATCCATAGCTGCAGCTTCGACCATTGTCAAGGAGTGATCTAGAGCTAAGATTTCTGGATGTAAACGGGCAGCTGTCTATCAACGGATCGCCGTCCAGAGCAGGCCCTTCTCCAACAGCCAGCCTTGTTGCTGCTGGACTTGCTACCCCAAACCAACCGGGAAGAGGCACAAGCGTCTTTATTTGCTTCCATCGCTATCAAATATCGCTGCTTCCTCTCATATCCTCTCCCTTCTCCTCCACCCCCCGACCTTGTCCCATTGTGTCTATTGTAACGCTGCCATCTCCCGTCGTCTACTTTCGTTGTTGATCTTATACTTCCCCCAACTCTCTTCCCTCGTTCTCATCGTCTTTGCTCCGCACAAGAGTCTTGATATCTCGTCGTCCCGAGAACACCATTGGCAAATCACGACGAGAACCGATTGTGTTTCCTCCCCTTGGCTTCTTTCCAGACCGCCATGGATCCACCGTTCCCTCACGACGGGCAAGCCTCCAGCTACACGAATCCCCTTCTTGCCGGTCACGGGCAACAATCATCCTGCGTGTCAGAGCTTACCGATATGGGGTCATACTATACCCTTTCGTCGGGCCCTGAGGATCAGTCACCACATCTCTCAGAGGCTGGTTCTCTGCCCACATCATCGACCCTGTCACAACAACCGCAGCAACAGCAACAACACCAGCAACACTCTTATGCGACTCATACTCCGACTCCCTTCATCTCCAATCAATCAGGTCTTCACTACCCACTTCGAAGCCATCACCAAGCCTGGCCCTCGCCTCCCCCAGGCCCCGATGACTTGGATAACTATTCCTATCACAGTTCGCCGACCTGCGGGAGCGCCCCAACCACTTGCTACAACCCTTCACCAGTCTCACCGAGGACGTGGTCCTCCCCGGACTACCCTCTGCAACAAGGTTCTGAAACACTCCATCAGAACCAGCAAGACTCTTTCAAGAACTTTCGAATCTGTACCCCAACTTCGACAGAAGGCTTTCCCGTTCGGGGCCCTCAGGTGCTGACGCCTTTCACGGCGAGCATGAGCCAGGGCCTTGAGGGTGAAATAGACGGCCTTCCAAGCAGTCAGTCGCCCGCAACGATTCCGACGTCGTCAGCTGGAGTACTCTCAGGCACCAACTCCCCTCGCGAAGGGTTGCTGGATGCTCCTACCTACATGACAACCAAGAAGGAAGAGTCGCCGGCGGTCGAACCAGAGAACCGTGCGAGCCCAGACAAGCAGCCGGAGACTAGTGAATCACAAAGCTCGTCGGCTGTTGGCGCTAAGCCTGAGGAACCCTACGCCCAGCTCATCTATCGGGCCTTGATGGGCGCACCGGGGCACGCCATGACTCTGCAAGAGATCTATCAATGGTTCCGCGACAACACGGACAAGGAGTCCAAGAACGAAAACACGGGCAAGAAGAGCGGTAAGAATGCTGAAGGATGGCAGAACAGCATCCGCCACAACCTGAGCATGAATAAGGTACGTGAGAAGTGAGTTTAGTTGGCTTGGGGGAGCGATTGGCGTTGTCCAGATTTCCTGTTTCAGAAAGGAAAGGTAGTTTGGATTAAACACCACCCACCCACCACACCCCTGCCCTGCCCTGTGCTGCCCTGTCCTGTTCAGCTGCAGCTACCGGGGTATATCGTGCTGCACACGGGCCAACGCAGCCGGGGATAATGGATGAATATGGATGAAATCGAGGAGCCATCGGAGGAGGCGTTTGGATGTGTCCAAGGCTGAGCTGAGCTGACAGTTGCATCTTGACAGGCTTTCACGAAAGATCCGCCCAAGAAGGAGCCTGGCTCCGGCCCTAGCATGACAGAGTCAACGGCAGGCGGAGACCCCAAGAGATCGACAGAGTGGAGGCTGGTAGACTGGGCCATCCGCGACGGGGTGCAGAGCACAACTCGATACCGCCCTGGCAACTCGGCACGCCGAGCCATAGGGACCAAGGTGCAGCATCATCCCTACAACCACCATGGACACAGTCACGGATTCCAACAGCATGGTAACCCAATTTCCACAAAAGCCATGTCTGGAAGGAGAGGAGGTTGCGCAACGAGCAAGTCGAAATTGCGTGGCCGCCATTACACGCACGAGACGGCCACCATGCCACCAACATCGCATGCCCACCGTATCATGCCGCATCCGCATCCTCACGGTCATCCCCATGCTAATCCCCATGCCCATGCCCATGCCATGCGCCGCTCCACCTTCCCGGCCATGTACCACCAGCCGGCCTATGTCTACGACGACCTGATGGTGCCGCGAGTCCAGAGATCGCAGCAGCAGATGCCTATGAAACAGGAGCAGAACTACAGCCCTATGACACCGACCCCCGAGGCGACTGCAGCCAACCCATTCGGCTTGATGGTTCCGGAGCCGAGCATGATGCCCTCACAGGCTATCGCTCCCTCCAACGTCAGCAACAACCACCATGGCCCCGCTGGCTACTCTCTGCCCGGGACCGGGGCCGGCCAAGGCAGCATGTACGTCGGACCTTTGTCAACGGGCGAGTTTCCTCTGGGCATGGGCGACGTCACAGGTGTCTTTCAGCCCACAGGCGGCCACCACGACGATGTTGGCGGCGGCGGCGGACTCAACGAACGCCTCTTGGGGATGGGCCACAACCTAGTTTACAACTGGCACAACAACGGAATCTGAGATGTGCCGCCTTGCGAAGCTTAGGCCGGCAGCCACAAGGTCACATCGGGCACGCCGCTGGCGGCCGATCCGGAGGAGACAACGGACTAGGAAGAGAGAGCGTGCCACCTCTTTCTCTGCGACTGTTGTCTCTTGTGGCTTTCTCTCAGAATTGAGAATATCAAAAGCAAAAAAAGAAGGAAAAAATTACCAAACGGCAGAACAAAAAAAATGTGAGGAGGGCGCGAGAGGCGACTGCGAGAAGAGAGGACAAACCCTTCTTTGAAAAAGCAAGTTGGCCTCTTACTGTGGTACAAGACTGTCCCACAGGGTTTGGTACAGTAGGGAAGCGAAGGATCACGACCAGACGAAACGACAACGAACATTCATCGCCACCAACAAGCTCTTGGCCGCAGACCCTGGAGGTCATGACAGACCATGAGCGAGTCCAGAAGGGGACACCACCGCGTGCAGAGAGCATCAGCATCAGCCCAGCCCAGCTCAGGGTCACGGGTTGAACCCTGGCAGACCAGACGGTGCTAACTGCCTACTGCTATGAGAACAGTAGGCT